AAAAAGGGTAAAGTACATAGAAGTGAAATAACAAAATTAACAAAAATGTTACAATCTATCTGGGGAAGTGGGGGAGGGTTAATAAAAGTTCAAAAATAATAAATCATAATAACAACTGAAAATGACACGGAGAGTCTCAGTGGGAAAAAAGCTTACTGCAGAATGATGTATGTAATCTCTCCTCAACAGATGATGGAAAACATTAAAAAACAAGAGGGAAAACTAAAATATATAATATTAAAGTACATGCTTTTCAGGTTGTTTCAGGAAACAGAATATCACCACTGAGATTACTTCTGTTCTGCTTGATACAAGATAAACTTACTGTTCTGTTGTATTACTGAATTATATTCTTGTATCTATTATTATTATGAGAGATTTCAATAAAACATCACGAATGCCCAAAGAATATAAGCGACAATGACCGTGTCATATTATGAATCGATATAGACTAGTGACCAAAGATTGTATTAGTTAGAGAACCAATGAGATTACTGAACAACTGTTTCGCCCAAGTTTGGGACTCATCGTCAGTACGCGCCCACTGGGTTCCTCACTTAAGATCTTCCAGTTACAAGGCAAGCTCGTAGACCACTCAGGTACTGGGACCTGACTAAATGATCAGCCAATGAATTCTAACTTCTACCAATTCGTGATATTAATCCGTTGGTCAAACTTGAAAAATACATCAAATCCCTACAAACCACCTCTTGAAAATAGACTAGTGAACTGAAAATCAGCAGTTCAACACGTGATCTGATTGGTGGACACGTTATCCCAATAGTTTATATTGGTTTTATTGAGGTTTTTCAGTGATTAAATCATTTAAGATAACCTTGGATGGTCTTTGAAGAAAGATTTATAACAATTATCTAATATTTTATCTGACTTCACATAAAGGTTCAAATAACTTTGTAATGCATGTGTGCTAAGATGTGTTAGTAGATAATGACTAATTGGTGTTACCATTTGATTGCTTTGAGCAATATTTAAACCCCATATTTTTGATGACAGGTATTTTTATTTATTTCCTTTAATTCCACATTACTAATAGACAGGGCCCACGTTAACTTCTTGATCTCCTAAGAGATCATGTAAGCATATGGTTCAAGTGACATCTAACACTTTGTACTTGTCAGGTAAAAGGTTGCAATTTCGTCAACTTTGAGGTGAAGATCACAGTACTAAGGCAGCGGTAGTAAAAGAAGATGGACGAAGCGTTTTCGAACACGGAGTTCAGACAGATTTCTCCTTATGGATCGCTAAAGCTTCGGTTTCGTGAAGAAAATGAAGGAGAAATCCACTGAAACGGCCTAGTCACACTTTATGTATGACTCTGAAAGAAGTTTTCGCCGATTCTGCGTGGCCAGATGTAACAATGTGCCTCATAATCGATCCATTGATTCTTCTACGCTCTTTTTTTACATCCATGCTGGCAAGTGTTCGTAAGAGCGTCTAGACAATGTCCTGTTGATACAGCCTATGTACTTAGATCCACAAGAGCAAGAGAATTGGTAGGTGGACACTTAAGCAGCCAACAACGGGATCTTATCTTTGACTTTTTGGTGAACAACAGTATGTGGGAGCAGGGTGACGCGTAAAGATGCAGCAAAGGTCGTTCTTTGAAGTGCTCTGTCTAATTATATCTCCCTTGAATTTCATATTTAAAATGAGTTGTTCCTATAGAACATCCAGGTTTTGTGGAGTTTCGGTCTTTCTCTTTAGGTGTTTGTTGATGAAGGACATTAGATATTCATTTTTTATTACAATGTTATCGAAGGATTCCAATTCCTTATTTAGTATGTCGTGTTGTTAATTAACATTGTAGATGTAAACCCCTAAATAACCCAGCGGCTTTGAAGTGAATTGACCAGAAGAGATCTGTTTGCTGACTTATTTGTTCTTAAACAGTTACGATAAGAGAAACAAATTAATGTACATCACAACAACTCTTTACAGATGTTGTGTTTGTGGAGATTTGATCACTACTGCTATTTTAGTTAACTTTTATGTTTCTTACTGAATAGTATCAACCATACTTAAAGCGTGAAATTCGGATGAAAAGTGTATATTTTCTCGAAAACTGACATCAGCTAAAGAACCACTGAATGGCAGTATTGTGGCATTGTAATCTGAAGAGAGAACTGTCGAAGATTTCTTAACTAGAACAAAATGAATATTTATTACTTCCTGGTTTTAAAGGTGTTTTTTTTTAAAGTAACATTAGTTCGTGATGAGATCGAAATTTAAATTACTTGCGTATTATTGACAAAACTGTTTGAGATAAGTTAGTGTTACTACAGTGATAGTGATCTAATAGGTGATAACCGTTACCAAAAAGTGTCATAATACTACAAGACTCAATAAATGGAGACAGAACATATGAAGTTATAGAAAAATGTCTCAGAATAAAAATGACTACTCGATATTTCCCTACAGGTAATAATCCAATACTTTGATTCGCTTTTCTTGCCTTCCCAGTGCAGCATAGAACTTGAAGCATAGACATTTCATTAATTATAATGTTGTTTTTATGGGTTAATATTGCTAGCTTCACGCCCAAAGGTTTTACGGGCCTACTAAGGGCTAGACGAAGTTTAGGAAAATGGGAATCGAACCATTGTGGTTAGCGAGCATTCAATCATTGAACAAACAATTACTGGCTGAGAATATATGTACAGTTACACAATATATACTTGCCATAGTGTGAACTAGGCTTACCAGTTTTAAAATGTAGAATAATTCCTACGGAAATCGATTTGTTGGACAGTGTTGAAGAAACATTTCCATATTACGATAAAATTAAGTTTATAGTAATTAAACTGTCAAATCTTAATTTAGATTATTACCTTATTTGATAGTATGGAATATTCCTATATTAATAATTAAAATTCAATCTGAACGAAGAATATTCTTTTTAATAAGTTAATTAGTGATTTGATTTTGAGCAACTTCAATAATGCTCACCTAGCAGTCCATTTCACCTACGAAGGAGAATACAACGACTCTCTACACTTCCTCGATGTTCTACTAACGAGAAGAGAGTATGGTTTTGTCAAAAGAACCATATTTAGAAAGCTAGAGACCAAAGCTCAGTATACACACTTTCTTAGCTTTGTACCTATGAAATACAAACGTAATCTGATCAAGTGCTTAGCATTTAGAGCGAGATTTATTTGTTCCGAAGACTGCGTAGAGAAAGAACTCCAGGTCATCCGAGACATTCTAAGCGTGAGGGGATATTCAGAGAAGTTCATTAAAACCAACATAGGTTACAATAGTCGTAAACATGAACTGGCAACGGTGGAGAAAAAAGCCTCTGTTTTGACGTCTTCAAATGAAGGGAGATACTCCTGCGGAGATTCTATCGCAAGGTTTAACCAGGGCGATAAGGAAAACTTTCTACTCCGCACATCTGTTCCTATCCTTCAGTAGCCGTTCAGTGTTCACCTAGCAACTCAAAGATGTCTTACCTAGTCTTAGCTCTTCTTCATGCATATACCATTTCAACTGTTCCTGTGGTTGAAGTTATACAGGGCGCACGATTAGGCAGCTTCGTCTATGGGTTCGAGAACATTTACCAGCTTGGTTGAGCAAGGGGGAAAAAAGTGTATAAAAAGTTCGATCCTGTCACACTTGGTCGATACTGGACATCATATCGATGTCAACACAGCTTTTAGGGTTATATACTGAATTCCATAGTCGTTATCACGTACATTTCGCTTACGTCTTCTACACATAGCTGAAGCTATTGCAATAAGATCGACTAAACCGGAACTTTGTATCCAAAAAGAACACGTCCAGACGCTGTTCCTACAGTGGCCAAACTTGGATTGACGATTCTTCTTCTCATCAAGAGTGCTCCTTCTCCTTAACCCTCTTGGTTTTTTCTTTTTTTTCTTTGCTTATTATTACAAATGTTATTATTATAATTCATCAACATTTATGCCCTTCATGCAAACATTCTCTCAATACTATCGAATTTTTCATTTACACTATCCGGACTTATTATTAGTGATATTATCTCTTTTCTCAATATATGCCTCCACCTGTTTCATTTCACATATTAATTATTTCATGATGAACCTCTCATTGCAGTCTTACTACCTCCTGTTTAACACAAACCACTTTGTACTAGCCACTCACTCACCTGACACCTTTTATAACCTTGAACTGACTTCATTATAAATTATTTAAATTAATCCCAGCGTGTTAAGAAAATCAAATCTTAACACGCTGGGATTAATTTAAATAATTTATAATGAATCAATCTGACTCGGCGCTCAAATTATTTCAGGAAGTTCGTGACACCTACGGCCTGGAAACCTATAATCTTGAACTGACTTGTTAGTTTTTCCTACCCCTCACTCTACAAATCTATTATGATTAATCACCACCATTGTCTCCCGTTTTACAATATTTTGTAATCGATTTCAGCCTAGCACGTTTGTCGCACAAATACGACTATTTATTTTGACATCCCATAACTAATCTGTTATTCTACGTTAAAAATGTATCTGCCGCATAACTGGCCTTTATTGTAACGACAACAAATATTATATTTTATAATTGTAAGAAACTGAAGAGAAATTATTGAAAAGAATATTCTTCGTTCAGATTGACATTTATTACCTTATTATTCAGTAAACCTGATCATTTGTAGGGTGAAATGCAGAACAGACTAATAACAAATGAATTGTTTCACTAGTTTGATATCAAGACAGTTAGATAAACGGATATAGATAAATCAAGTCAGATTGGCAATTTCAGACTGAAAACACCTGAAAAACAAATATGGCGACAAAAACTACAAATCAGTCTCATTCAAGTTTTTCACTCTTAGTTATGGAAAAGATATTTTTCTAAAATATGTACCCCTAGTGGACAAATCAAACTCCTATTATCAATCATCATATGCATTGGTTCGTTTTTGTAAATAGAGGTAGCATTTATTTGACAACCAATCAATCAATCAAACATTCAAAGATGAATTAACTTACTTCCATAACTGAAAGAATATACAATTCATCAGAAACTTTCTGACGCATTTGTTCTAAATTGACTCGAAGGAATTCAACATAAGCTTTACCGATTTCGTCTGTAGGTTTCTGTAAAAGTAGAAAAACAAGGTAAAACTAATGATTTTCTATTCAGTGTGTATGTTTATTTAAAGTCTGTAAATCATTTATTGGTGTTTTTTACGATTAGATTTATTAGACAGGTGATATGCTGACATATGAAATAATTTTCAGTAGTAACTACTTCCATAAAGGGTTTACATAAGCGAGCAATATGCTAACATTGTATGATTTCCAAATATTGGTTTTGTAGGAATTTTTGTTTGATTGGTTGGAAGATTTCATAATTAGCTGACATCAGTCAGAGACCCATTGGAAAACCAACTGGGAGTACTGGACAGCTGTTTCGTCCTAGTCTGTAACTCTTTAACAGTACGCGCCCACACGGCAGGGTCTGAACCCAGGACCTTCTAATACCAAGGCTAGTGAGCTCGTAGACCATTAAGCCACTGGGACCCGGTCTAATGGCCTTGTGTTCGAACCTCGGTGGGTGCGTATTGCTGAAGAGTCTCAAGCACTAGGACGAAACAGCTGTTCAGTACTCCCAGTTGGTTTTCCAATGGTTCTCTAACTGATGTCAGCTCACGATGAAATCCTCCAACCAATCTAACATTGTATGAATAGTATCACTGATATAAAGATACATCCCATTAAGTAGATTATTTGAATTAACGCTGAAGATGCTGTCTAGGAAGATAATGAGTGTTTCGGAACTATATTATCCAACTCAGAGAACACAACTACACGAGTATATCATCCAGCCTGAGCTAAACAGTTTTCTCCATCATATCCAGATTGATGGTGTTGATTATTTGTAGAACAATATTTAACTGAAAGCATACATGATGACGAGGACTGGTGATAAAGTATGTTTTAAGCTGTGGTACATTTTAAATTTTGACCACCAATAAGTTGTTGCGTACATGTTCTACAAAAATAAAGCAAAGAACTGTGTATTGGCAATGACTTCCACCCTGATCATAGTATTTTGCTCGATTACAATTATTATTATGGGGAGAAAAAGTAATAAAGAATGCTTTGTACTGTATTATGCTCCTCAATGATGTAGTTTTGAAAATATGTGATATGTGATAATCTGTTTTGGAAAAATTAGAAGGAAACAAATGAAGTTCTCATTGTACTCTTACAGTTACCATCAATCGTATTCACATATTTTACAAATAAATAAATAAAAAAGAAAATTATATCTGATGAAATTTATTAAATTAAACTGTATTATATTGTATGGTATTAAACTATTTATCATCTCTGCAGTATACCGATCTATTATGTTAATCATTACTAATAAATTTTCATTCTCCCCTATTTAGGTTATTATTCAATGGAAATGAAATTAGTAGGTTAAATATTCAATACCATTCGCGTTTAATTCTAGGTCATAAAAAGTTATATATATATATATATATATTGAGGGTGTTTTAAAATACTTTTGCATGGCTTACTGAATACAAGTCAATAGGCAGAAAATGTATACATTGATACTATGATTTTCACAAATTTACAGAAAGCGTATAGTGAAAACAAAACAAAAAAGTTAAAGGTATCAATATTTTCAAGAATTGGTTTGTAAGGATTAGATTTGTTTTTACGAGTTTGACCACGGATTGATATCAGTTAGAGAACCATTGAAAACCAGGCAGTATTGGACAACTGTTTCATCCTAGTTTGGGAATCATCAGCAGTACGCTATCCAATACTCCCTGGTATTCAACGGTTCTCTAACGGATATCAATCCGTGATCAACTCTTATCAATATTTAAATATTTGATAAACAACCTATGCATACAGAAGGAGAGAGTTTTATTAACCTTTCACTACCCTGGTAACCATAATTGTTTTGTTCGTATACTTTTGTTTTGTTCTGTTGCCTAACATTCCACTAGATCTTGATTTTGGGTTCACTCAGTTGAACTCACTATTAAGGTTACAAATCTACTAAATTAAAATCTTTTTTAAATTCCTTTACGTTCCCAGTGGAACATGGGGATTCAAGCTAGAGGCTTGAAGTTTCGGTAGCAGTGATGTTTATTTTTACGGCATAGGGTTGCTAGCCTCATGCCCAGCCTTCCCTCTTTACCAGTCTTATTACTGGCTTAGCTAGGTAAATGAGTGCGTCGGTAGGGGATCAAACCTCGAACCACATGCGTGGTTGGCGAGCATTCTACCGCTGTGCCACCGACGCTAATTTAAATCTTAAAATTAAATACTTTTATCTATTTTATAATTTTACTTCACTATTCACCCCTTCCCACCGTCCTGAACTCTCCGCCATAATATGTATAAATTAACTCTGTTGTTCTATCCTGTATTTTGTCTCTAGTTCATCCTTGTTTCTAAAAGAAAACTGAATTCCACCCCCCTTGTCTAATTACTATATAAATAGTTACTCTTTTAACACTAAATAATTGTCTACTTACATCATCTTTGAAATTATATTGCTTATACTTTCTATCTGTAACTTGAAGTCATTGTAAAAAGTATGTTCAGACACTATTTTGTAACATATAATTGATTTATTTAGGGTGTATGCAGTTGGAGCGAACGCACGCAACAAAAAGACCTAGTATTATCCTACATATATGTTCATTCTTTCTTTACTCAACCTAATAAAGAGAACTGGTTGTAGGAAAAACTTAAGTTTTTAATGAAACATGTTTTTTTCACTTTTGATTGTAGGTCTAATTAATTAATGTAAAGTGATTTTTGTTTTTCGATCGAATAGAAGACTAAGAATTTCCTGTTTATCAACTGAAATGCAGTGCAGCGATTTACTGAGGGATTTCAGCCTATTACCTTCTAATAAATTACACATTCAGGTCACTAAATAAAGATGAAGCTAATAATAATCCACTTTGATCACGGATTGATATCACTTAGAGAAATACTGAAAGCTAAGGTGTACTGGAGAGATGTTTCATCCCTAGCTCGGGACTCTTCAATAGTATAGACCTATGAACCCCTAGGGGTTTCAGTCCAAGACTTTAAGGTTATGAGGTGAGCTTTTAGACCATTTAGCCAATGAGGTGGAATTCATCATATGCCCGTGAAATCAATCCGTGACTAAACGTGGAACCAATTGAATTCTTACAAACTAACACTTGAAAATATTCATCTGTTATGTTCTATAGATCAACACCAAAATGACAGAAAGTTATGGGTAATAGAGATTTACAGATAACAGTCATTTGGTGGAGAGTACAAATCACTTCTGATAAGTATATCCCACTAAGATTGAGTATAGTTCTTATCAGGGCTTATACAAAATTATCATATTTTAAAGCTTCTGTACAGCTGTTTCACCTTATTTATATGCAACAATATACAAGCATTAAATCCCAATTTATTTTTGTATTTTATTTGAAGATTCTTTATTGATGAAGACAAAGTATAATAAATTTGATCGGTATTATGCATTGATAATCAAATCAACCATCTAAGCGATTTGTTAACATATTTCTCATTTAATCTTCATTCGTATATGTTGAATTACAGAATAAGAACATTCGAGAGTATAAATAATGAGTGAAAAAGGGAGAAAAGCAAAACAAAACGGTAGGGAAAATGAGATCCTAAAATAGAACACCACTGAAATAAAAAAGCATTCTAATTAGGTCTCGATGAAGAAAGAAAGAATGGTATTATTTTATACTGCGAATTCAGTCAATTTCACAGGTACCTATCAGTTGCAAACTGCCTGAAACTGCAGTGGTTATAAAAGGTAAACTTACGACCTCACACTGTTTATTCAATGTTCCTGTTTTCTGTCTTTTTTTCCCAGCCCATCCCCCTCCATCCTTTTCTACTTTGAAAGCATACAAACTGACGGTGACTTAAACTAAAAATTGTAATGCTTACATTTTGGATGTGTTAATTTTATAATATTTTCACTATTACCCTCGTGAAATATTGAAGCATATTATTGTCCAATTTTACATTTTCAGGCAGTTGGCAGATGATGAAAACCTGTGAAATAAAATGACGTCATTTTATACTGCAAAATTTGGTCATTCTTTCTTAATCGAAATTTATCCCGGAAATTAATTAAGTCTGTTTTCAGTAGAACACAAAGGTTAATACAATAAAGAGAATACAACCAAAGAGAATTAATCAAGGATTATTTGATCTTTTCTGATAGTTTTATTATTCTCATATAAATTTCAGTGTATAAAAGAAATACACACGGAATATATCTACATGTACGCCGTGCTGACGAGTGCAAACAGGAACGAAACTTAGGTCCAAGGCTTCTTACTAATTGCCTTCAGCCAACTAACAACTCACAATGCATAGAGCATATTGGTCATATTGGAAACTTGATTGATAGAGTTCACTTCACACCACCAAACGAAGGACTAGACACATGACATTAGTTATCACATAGCATCCAGTGAAAGTATCCATTACAGTTCTACAGGAAGTCAGTCGCGAGCCCGAATAGCTCAGTGGTAATATCTCTCGCTACAGTACTTAGTGACACGGGTACGAATCTCAGAAGGGATATAAGTTCCTTCAAGATTGCGGATAAGCTTTGCTGACTGGTGAGTGCCAAGCAGTACGAAACTTAGGTCCGAGGCTTCCTGCTGATTGCCCACTACCAACTAACAATACATATATGCATATACTGATTATTCACAACAGAGTAACTAGTTTAATAAGTCCAGTTTTTAGTCTTCGTGTTGCCTGAGTTCTAGCCCTCAATTTCTCAATAGAATTACCAAGCTAGGTAACTGACCAACCACTAAAAATTCAAAATGCGCAGCTATAGCCACTCCCTTAGTCTGATGATCAAAATTGACTAACATAATTTAGTCAGTACGAACACTAAGGACAAGGCATATGACATTATTTAAACCCCAGTAATCAATTAATGTATTCACTATACTCCTACAGGCTGTGAGTTCTAAGCCAAAACATCACAATAGTAACTTCTCTGGCTGCATCACAAGATGACGTGAGTACGAATCTAAAAAGGGGACATAAGTTACTTTGAGTTGGTGGACACACACCTTACTGACTAGCATCAATAAGCATGAAACCTACGTTGAGGGCTTCTTGCCGATTGCCTCCAACACAGAATATACAACGCTAGGTATACAGGAAAAACTGAATTAACTGATTACTTCACTAATTTTTCTCAACCAGACACCGACCAACCATCACACATGTATAGAGTTTATAAATGATATGAAGAACAAAGCAGTGAATTACTGTTATGAAGACTTTCATGCATCAGAGTTTTACTTCGTTTTCTCTAAAAAATTTTAAAATATCCTTGTATTTTTGTATTATTTTTATTCTTTTGTGTACCAAGTGGAACATAGGGGTTCAACAGCACATCTCCATTTAATTCTGTTTTCTGCAGTTATCTTTAGATGGCTCTACGACTCCACATTATCTCCACACGATCTTCTCCATGCGACCCACGAACGTCTATTTCGTTTCCCATTCAAGTTCCATTCTAGGGCCTTATGCGCGATGTCACTCAGTGGTGTAGGGCTAGTGATCCTACTGTGAAAAGTCAACCTAATGGCTACAGAAGCTTCAAAGCACAGCAAAAATCATTTCATTTTACAGACTAATAGTATTTATTCCTTGAATTATAATAAGAAAATTTACTGGCGAAGAAACAATTTTCGAAAAATAATGTTGTTAGGTTTTTGGAATTAGCGGCACGTTTGAGTTATGTGTATAAATAGTTAAAGGTAAGGGAGATTTGGCTTTCTCTGATAGCGAATACTTTTTTTTCTTCATTAGAGCATCAGATAACTAGAGACAGTCATAAGAAATTGTACAACAATGAAAGAGAAGAGAAAAAATTGACCACTTTGAGTTCTGTATACCAGAATCAAATAGATTTCCTCTAACTTTGATAGTAAATAATAAAATATAGATTGTGCATGTATCAAAAGTCTTTAGAAGGAAATAGACTAAAACTATGGTAATTCCATGTCACAAAAAATCTTCGGTTAGGGATAATTCTTAGTTATGATGACATATTACTGTAAATTTCGGTAAAATGAACACTTGGATTACATCCTTTATGGAGTTAAGGCATAAAATAAGAAAGAAAAAGCAGTTGAAATAAATTTTTTCAGACAAATTATGGTTATTGAGGTTCTGTATTTGTATTTCGGGT